AAAAAAAAAAAAAAGAAACAAATAAGAAAGAAAGAAAAGAGAAAGAACGAATAAGAAAATACTTTTTCTTTCTTTCTTTCTTTCTATCTATCTTCTTTCAACTTATTGAGCGATTTGCTCAGTGTGAAGTTCCAGTGTCAGATAAATTAATATCATCTTCACTCATATTCCATGGATGTGATGATTCTTTCTCTTGTTTTTCTTTTTTTACTCGTATGATTACGTACACACACAGACAAACACACTTTAACTTTTCCCTTCTCTCAATCCGAGAAACTCCGCCACCTTTTTTTTTTCTTTTTAAATGATTCAATTGATTGATATTTAATCTTCCATATCGATATCAGGAATGTCTTCTTCATCCTCCTCATTGTCAGACATTGTAGATGGAGGTACTGGCTTCACTGGAACGGAGATTTCCTTCTCTTTCCTTTGCGTTTCTCTCTGCTGATGAACCGTTTCCACAGTTGAAGGAGAAGAAACAAGACGAGAAGGCATAGATGGGAGATTGTGGGAGGTTATATCCACAGGAGCCTTACTCTCTTTAGGCTTCAACTGATCTACCTTTTCTTTTGCCTCTTCTTCTTCTTGTTTTTCTTCTTCTTGTGGTTGTTGTACTGTTGGTTGATCCATGAGATGATTTCCGTTCATGGGGGTTTCAGTAACGACTACTATTTCTTCCTGTACAACTCGCCGTGTTGCCCTTTCCACAACATCTACAGGAGGAAGATAGAAAGGCACGGCGTGCGGGTGTCTAAGGGCTGTTAACGTTACAGAGAGTTGATTGATAGAACGAAGTAGTACAAGTTGTTGTTGTTGTTGAGATGGATGCTGGGACTGTAATGTAAATCCCCTTCCTGGCATTTCCTTCACCACCCGCACTGCACAGGCCGAAACAACACTTGGCAGTGGTCGACACAAGAGCAGAAAAGTTGTCAATATATCAATACAAGGAGACTGTAGAGATGGTGCAATTCCCACCAAATCTTTTCCTTCCTTTTGCTGCTGCTGTTGTTGTTGTTCTTTTCCTTCTTCGTCTTGGAGGTGAAATTGACTGTTATTATTATTATTATTATTATTATTATTATTATTATTATTATTATTATTATGCTTCTTCTTATTCTTGTTAGCATGAGCTGCAGAAGAAGTATCAAAGGAGGAAGATCCAGTCGCTGGGGTGTGTGGAATGGGGGCATCCAAAATGCCGCTAATCACAACTTCCTGTGCAAATCGCAGAGCCGCCCGCTGCATAATAGATGGATTCAAAAAAGGACCCACAGCAACCAAGAGCTCCTCAAAGGCACGCAGATTCCGAACAAGAGCCGATGTATTCTCTTTCATATTCCTCTTCTCTTCCTTTTCTTCTTTTTCTCCTTCTTCTTCATTATTGCTTCTCACTGGTGTTGTGAGAGCTGTTTCCGCCAGACACGGTGCTGTTAAGAGAAACCTCGACTTCTCCGGCATCATCAACTCCATCAACTCCTCCAGCAGCCGCAGGGCCCCGGCCTTAAAATAAGTGCCGATCACCGCCGCCAACTCCCAACAGGCACAACTCGCCACCGCCGGAGAGGCGATCGCCAGCAACACACGCCGCAGAATGGCATCCAGCGCGGGTGTGAGTTGCGGTCCATACATGAGAACTAGTCTTTGCAGAGTGTGGAGATGCGGCTCGGCCATGGCCGCAAAGACATTTCCACGCTGACGTTTTTCGCCTACATTCTCTGTTCTTTCCTCCACCTGATCTTCTTTCCCTTTTTCTTTTTCTTGTTGTTGGGCATCGTTGATGATCGCATCGAGGGCGGAGAGTGTGTGGCCAAGAATGTCCTCCGATGAGACATGGATCGTCGCCGGTCGCTTTGCCTTGTGACTCATGATTTACAGTTTCACACTCCAAACACCTGTTCTTCTTCTTTTTGTTTTCTTTTTTTTTTTATTTATTTAAATTATTTATTTGTTTATTTGTTTGTTGTTATTTTCATACAAATAGAAATGTACATGAAAAGGATGGATCATGTGTGTCAATTTGATGTCATAGAGAGAGAAAAAAAAGAAGAAAAATAAAATAAAAAAAAAAGAATGCATAAAAGGAAAAAGAAGAAAAAAACTTAAAGAAGTATATATATAATTTCTTCGAGAGATGCATACAACAGTTTGCAGGTCTCCCTCTTTTTTTCTTTTTCTTGACTATAATATCTTTATAGTCATTTCCAGAAAAAATTACCTTCTTTTTTGTTTACTTTTTTTTTTTTTTTAGAAGCATACTATGGGTATCTAGTACCACGGCAACGAATCCATACAGATCATATTTAATATGTTTTTTTTTCCCCTCTTTTTCCACCCCTCCTCTACAAGAGGAAGATTAAAATGAGTAAAAAGGGTGTGAGAGGAAAGAAAATAAGGAATAAAATAAAAAAATAAAAATAAAAAAACAAATAATACTATATTTTGTTTATTCCTTCTTTTCACCAGTCGATGCTGTTGGTGGTGGTGCTAGTATAGACTTCACATGCTTTGCGTTAGCACATACCTTCTGGTTTTGAATGGCTGTTTTAATCACATCCATACGTTCACCCTCTTCTAATCCTGTTAAGGAAGTAGTAGCCGATAAGAACTCCACACTAGAAAACAAGAGACGTTTTCCTATCTTATCCACATGTGTAATAGCCACTATCGTTTCTCCTTCTCGCATAGGCTGTACCGTATTACACTGTATAGACACAGAAACATGACCAAGAAATTGTGGTAGAAGTGCCAACATAAGATGTAGAGATGTAAACATATCCGTAAGGGTAAGAAGTGCCCCATGTGCGAGGATGCCATTTACATCCGTTGTTCCTTTAGTAATAGTAAAAGGCCATGCCATTGCAAATGGAAATATATGATCTTTTAAAGGCATTATCATTGTGTTAGGTGTAACTGGTGTAATAGGACTTACAGGAATGGGTTTCATGAGTACAAATGCATCTTGTGGTTGTAACTGCAAGAGATCATGCAGTAACGTGGTACCATACTGATCACGGGATTTTACCACTTCATACATGGAAGTATACTTTGGGAATACTTGCAGGACAGGAACCCACTGTTCTCCTCCTTCTCCTTCTTCTTCTACAAGAATATTTTCTTTAGACTTTACAGACATAGAGATGTGTACCCCCCACCTGGGTAAAAGACTAGAATTAATAATAATAATAATAATAATAATAATAATAATAATAATAATAATAATAATAATTTTCGAAACCCTATTTTCAAAGGGAATAATAACTTTTCGAATTTAACGTGATGGATCTATGTGAAAAAGTGAAGGGTGATGTGAGGGGAATAGAAAGAAGAGAAGAAAAAAAAAAGAGAAAAGGAGCAAGGAGATTAAATTTAAAGCATTATCCACTATTATCTTTGCTATACATAGTTTTATTATTTTTCTTTTTTTAAAAAAACAGTAATCATAGAAAGGATTCTTTATGATTCATTCATTATTAATTTTGACGAACGAAAAGAAACAAAAAAAAAAAAAAAAAAAAAGCACCGTGAACTCAATCCTTTTCTCCATCATCTCTCCACTATCCCAAATGTGGAGATAGAAGTAACGATGGATGCGTTGGGTGAGAAATCTCCATACGGATAAATTAATGGAGGAGAAATCTCTAATGGATGTTTCTTTTTTCTTTTTTCTGTTCTTTTCTTTCTTTTTTTGACCAAACATAAAATTTATCCATTCCTTTTGCAAATTCCACCACCACCAGCGACAGCAGCAGCAGCAACAACAAGTACAAATATATATATATATATATATATATATATTTACTATCTTAACAAACACTTCACATGATTTCCCTGCGCCAAGACTCTATGGCGTACAATCATTTCTTCCAATACCTTAAGAGAACCCACTTGATTCCCATTCTTATTCATATCTTCTCCTTCTTTTCCACTTGTTGTCTCTGTAGTTGCTGTATCCAACCCAATCTCACTATTATTATCATGCAGGAGTTCTGCTGAGAGGAATGCCAATCGTGCCCCCATCTTATCCATACGACTGATCAACACAACTCTATCCCCAGCACGAATAGGATGAAGAGACCTTACTTGAATATCTACAGAGACATGTGTGATATTCTCTGGCAACAGACGTTCAACAACATGTAGAGAAGTAGTAGTATCCACAAGAGATGTAAGAGCACCGCAACTCATAACAGGCGTGTCTTCTGGTTTCATTCCAACAGGCACATCACATGCATCTGCGGTGATGGTGAAGGGAAATGCCATGGCAAGAGATACAAGGCGTTCCTTCTTTCTGGTGTCTGGTATGCATAAGACTCGTGTCTCTTCTAAGCGGTAGTTTAGTTTTGTTAACAACAGTTGTGTATGGGGGGAACTCTGCGTGAATTGTGTGCCGCGCTCGAGAAAGGATGGGGTGTGGGCAGAGACTGGCACCCAGAATGGAAATCGCTTCAACATTCCTTGTATATATATATATATATAGGGGAAGAGAAATGGTAATGTGATGATTGACTCTCTTCTCTGATAAAGTGAGAATACACCTATGGGGGAGAGAGTCCGTAAACAAAGAAACAAAGAGAGAAGAAAGAAGAGAAAGGGGGGAAAAAAAATAATACGGCTCTGCAACTACTGTTGTTACTTCAAGTATTATCAAACTACAGAAATGGTATATACAACGCACTGCCATTTTTTTTTTTTCTCTTCATTAAAAAGAAAAAGAAAAAAAAAGAAATGACTACGGGACAATGGTGAAGAAAACCATATTATATCGGTCAAAAGTCTTCGGAATAGCAAATAAAACATAGAATAAATATCCAAAGTGAAAAGAAAAAAAATGAGAAATAGTAGATGAATAAGAGAGTACGTGCTAGAAAAATCTTCTCTTTTTACTGTGTCTGTGGGTGTACGTATATGTTTTTCTTCTGCAGCTGGTGAGAGAATAATAATAATAATAATAATAATAATAATAATAATAATAATAATAATAATAATAATAATAATAAAAGGAGTGACTTCTACTTGCGATTGTACATACGTTTCTGTGTAGGAGTATAAAAGTAACTATGTATAGAAAACAAATTCCGTTTACTCTCTTTCTCCTCCTTCATGTCTTTACGTACATCTCTACACAAGCACTTAACATCTATCGTTGTCACATCTTAACCTCGTTGTGACTTCCTTTTATTTTTATTTCCTTTTTTTTTTTTGCTTCTGCTATCCTCTTCTTTTTTCACCTTCCTCCTAAGAGTTCTTCTTCCTTCATTTCCTTTTTCTTTTTCACCTTTCCTTTGTTTTTTTTTCTTCTTCGGTATTCATTTTCACACATCCTTTTCTTACAGTTGTGCCACATGAATATACGTGCACACAATACACAAAGAGAGGTACACAACTAACACACACATACACACGGAGAAAGAGAGAGAGAGAGAAAGTAGCACATCTCCCCTCCTTTTCCCTCATCCTTCCCCCTCCCACCATTACCATAATAATAATCATCATCATCAATAATAATAACAATAATTATATTCATTATCGTTCTCATTATTATCACTATTATTATTATTACTATTATTATTATTATTTGTGGAGGTGTCTGTGTGGAGCATATCTACGTTTACTGCTGTACGCACTGTGCTGTTTGTCCCCCACTGTTATCTCCATCAAACTGCATAAACACACCATCGTCCATACCGAACGGCATCTGTCCACGTCGCTGGCGTGAACCTCCACTTCCACCGGCGCCGGACTTCGCCGCTGCCCGCCGTGCGGCCCCCTTCCGCTTCTGCCGCCGGCTCTCATCCTGCAGCAACACCTTCTGTCCATTCAATCGCGGGAGTGGGTCGAGCATCTCAAAGGCAGTCGCAATCTGCTCCAGCTGCCGGGAACTCAACTGCGTTGGGTACTCCACCTCAAAGTGCACAATGAGATTTCCACGCTCCGTTCCACCCGTGTTGGGAACAGGCATTCCCTCGCGGTGCACCACCCACGCCGCCTCGGGGTCAATCACTTGTCCACATGGGACTTTAATGAGAAGCATGCGTTTATCCAACTGCTGCACGGGAAGTTCAAACCCGCAGAGAGCCTCCCGCAGTGTGATGGTGTGATTCATCAATAGATGTTTACCAGCCCGACGGAATACATCATGTGATTTCAATCGAAGAATAATGAGGACATCTCCCTTCAACCGCACCCCAGGGATCTCATCACCCTCCCCATCAAAGCGCAGCACATCGCTGTCATCCATGCCCTTCTCCACACACACATCCAACACCTTCTGATCCTTCACCACGCGGTTCCCACGGCAACCACTGCAGATATCCGCATCCCGCACCGCCGTGCCGGCCCCACCGCAGGCCGTGCACGCCACCTGCATGCGCTGCTGCATGCCAGGGAACAACTGCTGCACATGCACACGCACCCCATGGCCACCGCAGGCCCCACACTTCTGCCGCACCGCTCCAGGCCGCAGGCCCTCACCGCCACAGTCTCCACACAAACGATCACGCGTCACCGCAACACGTCGACGGCGGCCGGCATACGCATCCTCAAGCGTAATGGTTAATTCATGCACAAGATCTCGCGGTTTACGTTCTCCACGTGGTGCCCGGCGGCCACCAAAGAAGGCAGAGAAGATATCAGCCGCATCCATACCATCATCACCACCACCATGCTCAAGACCCGCCTTTCCATGCTGATCATACAATCGTCGCTTATCCGCATCGCTGAGCACCTCGTAGGCATGACTGATACGTTTAAACTTCTCCGCCGCCTCGTCGTCGCCAGGGTTCTTGTCAGGATGGTACCTTAACGCAAGGCGGCGGTAGGCGCGCTTGATCTCATGCTCAGACGCATCCGTGACTATCTCAAGTAGTTCATAATACTCTGTCTCCTTCACCATGATTATTTATTCTGCTTTTTTTCTTGTTCTGGGGCGTTTTTCTCTTTCTTTTTTTTCCTTTTTCTTTTTTTCCTGGTTTCTTTGCTTTTACTTTTTTTTTTTTTTACACTTCTTTTTCCTTTTTTTTTTTCTTTATACTTCTTTGCTTACTTCTTCTTTATTTCGTATATATCCCCTTATCCTTTTTTTTTCCTTTTCGTCCTTCTGTTACCTTAACTTGCTTCGTTAACCACGTACCAGAGCACTTGTTTCTGTTGCTGGTACTGCCCTAGAATAGAAGTGATGAATCCCCCAACAGAGCCAAAAAAAAAAAGAGAGAAACAAAGAAACAAAGAGGTAAAGAATAGGAGTATAAAACGATCAAAAAAAAAAAAAAAAATACATTTCAACAAATGATATTTCAGATTGAAGAGTAATGATTCAAACGAATCGAAAGAAAATAAAACGAAATACTGGAACCACGAGTACCAACTAATACCAGAACCCTTGTTGTCGCTCTTTAATACAACACCCAAAGCAAGGCAAAACAAAAAAAAAAAATAAAGAAATAAAGAAGAGCATATTGATATGACTGTCTCATTTTTTTATTTTTTCCTCAGAGAATCTTCATCGATCCACATCATATCCTCTCGTGCTCTTTTGTTTATCTATTGATCCCTAAAAAAACACACAGAGACACACACACACACACTTACCTATCGGCAAGGAAAACTGCTGATCTAGAGCATATCATCGACTATGAATCGATTACCTTCACTTCCCCTTCCAGAATAAAGTTTCTGATTCTTTAACCATTGTGTAACAGCTCCAGGTCCTTCACGGCGCTTCTGATCAAATTCAGCAAATAAATCTACTTGCATCTCCTCCTTTTCACCCTCATTTTTGCCTGACTTTGCAAGATTAACAGGAAGAGCAGCATCTATATTCACATCATCGTTATTATTATTATTATTATTATTATTATTATTATTATTATTATTATTATTAGTAGTAGTAGTAGTAGTAGTAGCAATAGCAGCAGCAGCAGGTAAAGTATTTGCAGGAATAGTCTTTACTTGTGCTGGAAGGGCAAACTTGCCTCTTGTTTTCGCTTCCTGCGCCTCTGCGGTTGTGAATTCTGCAGTATCCAATCGCAAGAGAGTGGGTAGCATATATTTCACATAAAGTCTATACCGTTTGTATTCTGTCGGTAGATGACCATCCAACTCACTTGGGCAACAGGGATTACGCAGCAATGATAAGTACAACAATGAAGGACACTGTCGCAGAACAACACCCAACACATCATCCAAGTTGGTAAGAGAATTATTATTTAACCAAAACCGCTGTAGGAATGGTAGTCGTGGAAGAGATGTCACGTTCTGGAGTTCATTATTATCTAAAATAAGTGTATGCAGTGAGGTTGCAAGAGAGGAGAGACGTATAAATGACTGACTATCGATAGTATTGAAACTGAGATGCAATTCTGTAAAGTAAGGAGACTCTTCTCCTTCTCTTTGCTGTTGCTGATTCTCTACTGAGGTTTTAGCATCACTGTTATTACTGTGGCCACCCAACATTGGGAGTTCATCAAGTGATTTTAGATTACACGCTATCGCATGGAGTACAGTACCCTCTACCCTAGGTTTATTAGACATCCTTTTTAAGAAGATATATATATATATTTTTTTTTTATGGAATAGATGTTTGGATTAGACCCTACCACTCTAATCCTAGAAAAGGATACACATATAAAAAAAGAAAGAAAAATAAAGAAGGGGTGGGTTTCTTCAATATACCTCCAACATCCCAATTGAAACACCAAAAAGAAGCAAAAAAAAAGTAAATAAATAAAAATGATTAAAAACCAATCACAATATCTGAATTCATTGTGAAGATATAAAGTGATACTCCTTTTTAAAGATCCCGCAACCCCCAGGAAGACCTCCTTTCATGGAGAGTAATGGAGTAAAATAGGATGATAGAAAAAAAAAAAAAAAAAAAAAAAAAAAATTTTAAAAAAAAAAAAAANAAATAAAAATGATTAAAAACCAATCACAATATCTGAATTCATTGTGAAGATATAAAGTGATACTCCTTTTTAAAGATCCCGCAACCCCCAGGAAGCGATTCAATAATAGAAAGTAAAGGTGTTAAATAGGATGATAAAAAAAAAAAAACAAAATTTTATAAAAAAAAGAAAAACCATATTTCTTATACAGGTCAATAACCCCATAATGAAAGACAATAATATAAAATTATAATGACAAAAAAAAGCAAACTTTATTTTCTCTCCATCTGTCTATATCGTCTATTTTTTGTCTGTGAAAATAGGAAATCATGTATTCATTACATGACGAAGGGAATCCTTCCCAACTTTCCTCTCCTCCACACCCATCAGGGTCATTCAATCTACACACACACACAGACACACACACACGCACAGGGACAGCAAATTCACCAGTAAATAAATAAAAAAATAAAGAATATAAAGAATAAAAAATAATAACTGTCAACATGGCTACTTCCCCACATAGTTACTACCGCGTATCCGTTGTTGTTGTTGAAGTAACTGAAGGGCGGTTGATCGGCGCGGGCCACCACCACCACCACCCCGTTGTGTGGGAGTTGATGTATTCTCCCGTAAACTCTTCAATGCCAATTGTGATTCCAATGTGTAACAGAAGATTGACTGCTCTGTGAGTTCATCCAATAAAGTAATCATCAACTCTTGCAGCGCCTCCACGTGACTTTCACGTGCCAACAAAGCGGCCTGCAACTTCTGATTAGTCTCTGTGAGATTCTTCCATTCCCCTTCATGAGCTGCGAGCCTTCGACGGGCATCCAATAACTCATGGTTCTCTTGTTTGACGGCTGCCGAAAGTATTTCATATGAAGCGTTTGCGGTTTCGGCAGCAACACGCTGTTCACTTAAGTGTAGTGCGAGATCCACAATCTTCGCCTCCAAGGCAGAAAGATGCGCCTCCTTATCATCATTATCATTATCATTATCATCACCTTCTTCTTTTTCTTCCATTTCCCTCTTCTTCTTTTTCTTTTTCTCTGTATTACTATAACTGTTGCTCTGATTAGGCTCCGCAATGTCCATCATATCTACACCTTCTTCCTTTTCCTCTTCCACTGCAGTGATCACCGCTGCTGCTGCTGGTGCCGCACACTCAGTTAGGAAACGTGCCTCCCACATCTTCACCGCAGCCTTCGCCTCTGCGAGGGCCTCCTGCAATGCGGTGTGTTCCTCACTGCGGGCCGTCCAGTACTGCCGTCGCTCTTCCACTTCCACCCGCGCTGCGGTGACATCCGCTTGGGTCTCCGCTAGTGTTTGCCGCAGCGATTCGTGTGCGGCCCGCAGCGCCGTCTCCCGCGCCACTGCAGCCGCTAGTGACGATTGCAATTGCTGCTGCTCTGCACAGGCGGCCTGTGCCTGCGATAAGGATGTGCGTAGAGCGTGATTGGTGCTGTTCGCATGCTGCAGTGCCTCTCGCAGTTCCCGCACCGCACATTCAAGGCGGCCGCACTGCGCAGCGAGGGCGTCTTGTTCACATTGCAATAACGCCGCCTCACGCTGCAATCGCTGATGTCGCTCGCGGCCTAATGTTAATGCCGCCTCACGTTCCTGCAGTGCACAGGTGGCTTGTTGTTGTTTTTGTTGCTCTTCTGCTAACTGCTGCGATAAGGCGTGGTGGGATTGTGATAACTGACGCAGTGATGCTGATTGTGCGGCGAGTTCCACTTCCAGCCGTGCCCGCTCTAACTCCACTGCCGAGAGTTGTGAGACTTGTTCACGCAATCTTGCCATCTCTGCAGTGGTGTCTGTTGGGTTCGCAGGAGACGCCGTAGGCACCGCAGACTGTCGGGTATTCTCATGACTTTTCTGAGTCTTATTATTATTATTATTATTATTGGCATTGGTGGAAGTTATGCCGCTGCTAAATGCCGCTTCCTTATCTTCTTCACGCTCTTCGGTTTTATCATTTGGGTTTTTTGCCACTGCAGCCTGATGAAGAGATCGGGCGAGGGCAGTGCGGATGAGATCCAAATCATTCAGAATGCCCTCCATTGCGGTGATAAACTCTGGCCGCACGGACTGTGAAGGAAAGAATAGAAAACAGTAAAAAACAGAGAAGGTAGAGAAAGAGAAAAAAAAAAGAGAAAAGGTTATCTCTGAGAAGAAAATAGACTGATGAGAGAAACAGGAAGTAAATCAAAAACTAATATCATATATATACAAAGATAGAAGGGAAGAAACAAACAAAAAAATTTTATTCACTGATGCACATGCGCAAAACAGGGATAACAAAAGTAAAAACAACAACAAAGAAACGGTAATGATAACGAGGGGAAAAAACATAAATAAATTAAAACAATAGCGATTTACAAATACGAAACGAAAAGGGCTAGTCGAACAACAACAACATCACCCAGACGAACTCTGAAAAACGCATAGTGGCAAACTACTACTAAAAAAAAAAAAAAACACCTTATTCTTTTTTCCTTTACTTTTTCTCATTCTCCAATATATTTTTGTTGCAATGTTTTCTTTTTTTTTTCTTTCTTTGGAGAAATATCCTGATTTTCTTTTTTTTATTCCTCCCTTTTTTTTACTCTTTGGTGGTTTATGATGAAGGCTGGCCCCTTCCAACGCATAGCAAATATGGAAAGGAAAAAAAGTGATCCCCTCCTCTGCATTCTCTTTCTTTTTCTTTTAAATTACGATACTCTTTTTTTTCTCTTTATTTTCCCTTTTCTTTCTCTTCTTCTTCTTCCTTCTTTTTCTTCCATTGCTGAAGACTCCATAAGAGTGAAAGACCCCTTATGTACAGCATAGACCCACATCAGCAGAAACAAACAGAGATAGAGAGAAAAAAGAAAAGAGGAAAAAAGAAAGGGTTACACATCAATTTCTTTCCAGCGTTCATCCACTTGCTGCCGCGAGCGAATGTACCGCGTTGTGTTGCGATAAAACGTACGGGCCGCATTGTACACCTCATTTACTCCATTCTCTGTACTATTATTACTATTATTATTACTATGAATAATATTAATATTAATATTACTACTACTACTAGCCTCCCCATCCCCATTCGCTGCATCTTTCGTATTGCTTGCCTCCTGCACGAGATCAATGAGAGCTGTAATATACTTCACCGTTACCCCAGGTGCGTTACCGGCATAGTAGTGTAAGACCTGATTTAATAATTCCACAAATAGTGGTAACTGTTGGGATGCTTGTGTGCTATCGGCAATCTTTAAAGCCCGCTTTAGACACTCCAACACACGTTGATGACTCTCTGAGGAGAGGGTGTGTTTCCAGAAGAGATGGGCACAGAGAGCCACCACACTGCTTTGATCACTCTTACGTACAAGTTTAGAACTATACTGACAAACCTTTGTTGCGAGTAACTCATAACTCTCCTCTGGCATTTGAGAAAGTGTGTAGAGGGAGGAGATGAGACAATGCATCATTTCAATTTGTCCAGTGGTGTCAGCAGCATTTTCTTCGTAAAGTTGAAATACACTCACGTACATTTCATAGGCGACATCAGGGAGACCACAGGCATCCGCCGCGTTGGCACTAGCGAGATAGAGATGAAATGTCTGTAGTGGTTGCTCCATTGCAAGTATCTCTAGTATACCTTTTCCATCACCTGAGTGAATGAAATAAAATACCTTCGCACAAGATACACCTGTTTTACTTTTTTTTCTTGTTTCTTCATTCTTCCCTTCATCATCATCATTAGTTCCATTTCCATTTTCTTCTCCATCTTTATTATGATTATTATTAGTATTATTATTATTATGGATCGCATCTGCTTCTTCCTTTGCCACCCGCAAGGCAAACTGTATATAGAGGGATGCTAATGTTGGCAGAGTCACGACAAGACGATCAGTTCCACCTTGACCAAGTTGTTTACGTACACCATTCAACATCTTCATATGTATAGCGGTATCATCACAGTGTAATAGATGTAGTACACGACAGACAAGGTGTTGTTCCTCAATAAACTCTGCAGTGGGATCACTACTCATATACAATTCACTGCGATTGACAGGAGTATCCGGTTCATCCTTTACAAGTGGGGCAATGAGTTCAAAGAAACGTGCCGCCATCTCAAGAGTGGTAATACGATACGATACAGATTGAACACATGTTGTACAAAGTGTGAGGGCCACTGTACGGCGTGAAGTGAATGGCAATTTCAATGTGAGGATATCAATACTGGGGAGATCCAATACCACACTGGGATCTTTTAGTGTTTGAATGACGTATACAATGATACGTTCTATTATTCGCACCACCGCCTCCTTTGGTGGTGTTGTCACCTGTTCAGTAATACTGGTTAATACAATACCAATATGTGTTACCGCCGCCTCTGGATCTGCTTTAAATGAAAGCTGAATAAGACTTAACATGGACTTCACATATGATATAAGTGGAAAAGGATGATGTTGATGATTGTTGTTGTTATTGTTGTTGTTCTTATTAGTGTTACTATTACTATTACTATTACTACTATGGTTGTTATTACCATTACTTCTATTATTCCCCACCACTGTTTCTGCGGCTGTTACTGAGACTGCGGCTTCCAGTAGAGATGGTATGGGTGGTGTTAGTGTAGATATGCCTTTTCCCTCTTCCCGCGGTGTGAGCATCGCATCCAATCGAGTCTTAAAGATATCAAACATTCGATGAAGTAATTTCTCTTCCTTGCGGCTTCCCGCCTCTGCAATTCCCTCACGTAAAGATACCGCATAGTTCCCAAGCCGCTCCATTAAGGAACCCAATATCGCACACACATCCACACTCCATAATACATTCTCTAGTGTGTTAAGAAGTTCCTCCAATGTGAAGAGATGAAATTCATCTGGAAATACTTGAACAATAACCTCCAATAAATACTGTTGGGCTAATGGCTCTCTATAACTGACGATAATGTTGAGAAGCCGAGGAAGAATAGTACTTTTATAGGCTTGTCGATCCACTCCCTCCAACTGTGAAAGCCGTACAATGTTCATTCCAACAAGTACACAAAGTTCCTTACGCTCCCTATGTTTGCGTTGGACCACAGTAGCCGGTTGATGATATCTTTGTTGTTGTTGTTTTTGTTCTGCTGTCATTGGCCCTTTTGCCTCCATGCGAATCCACAACCAATTCATTTCTCTAAAGTTCTGCAGAATGAGTTCTGCGGTGTCCTCCACCGTCCCACCATCGCCCTCCACACTGCTGGGCACTGTGCGGTTGACATCACCCGGTAATTTATTCTTCATCATTGTGAGAAGAAAGTGACGGAGAAATAAACCCCGCGTTGGGTGTTGAACGCCTTTACACATCTCTACCAAATCCCGTAATATCTCAATAGCGGGTTCCTCACCAGATTTAATATACACAGAACCCACCGTAATAAGAAGATATAAACGTGGTAGAATACTTCCTGCATGTTGAACCACTTCATACATTTCTTCCAGAGATCGACCACGTTTGTGTTCCTCCTCAAAGTACTGTTCAAGTTGCTGCATCTCATCAAACACCTTTACATACAATTCATAGTAATACTGCGGGGCTAACATGCCCGTTCGCAGCTCTGCAAGCATTTGAGATGCCGTGCGAAGTACGTAAATAAAATCCCGCTGTCGAATATATGCTTGCATACAGGCGGATTTTTCACGAACAGCTTGTATGGCTTCGCCAAGCCATTTTTCTTGTTCTTGTTTGGGTGTAAGAACGGGTTTGTCAATAGAAATAACATTCGGTGGGTTTACTGGAGGAACTTCTGTTGACATTTTTTTTTTTTTTTTGAAATCTTCTTTTCTCTTCCTTTCCGTTTCTTGTTTTGTTGATGATAATAATGAGAATAATAATAATGTTTTAGTTTTCTCTTTGAGTACTCGTATTCTCCAGCTAGTTAGAAACAAATACAGAGTGACAAAGTATGTAAAATAAAAGAGATCTATTTTGTTCTTTTTTTCTTGTTGAGCTTCTTTGTGTTCCCTGCCGAACTTGACAGGAGCTAAAAAAGGAGATCAAAGTGTAAAGATCAGAGGGAAAATATAAATACATACATACATACATAGATAAACAGAAAAAAAAAAAAAAATAACAGAAAGTCTATACAAAACATATGAAAATAAATAAAAAAAATAAAATAAAAAAGAAACCATCAATAACATATCCTATAGCAATAGAATAATAAAATAATTCCAAGAAGAGAATACCCAACTAAAGACCATTTTGCTGGTTACTCACAAGATACGACGTTTTCTTTTTTTTTTTTTTTTATTCTTTTGTGAATGTATGTATATGTCTGTGTGTGAGTGTTTTTGTATATATGTACATCATCTGTGGTCCTCGCACGGATAAACACACAGATAGAGATAGAGAGTAATGGAAACACACAGACAGAGAAAAATAATATTAAAGAAAGCAGCACGATCAAGAACAACAACAGCAATAAATGGTATTAGCGTACATCACGCTTTAAGAATGATAATCATAATAATAATAACAATAATAATAATAATATACATATAAAGTTACAGAGAAGTAATACACACCCTCTCCCTTTCCTCCACCAACAAGAAAAAAAAAAACTCTTCTCAACAGTTAACACTCGGGGTTACTTCTCTAGACGTTGTTTTTTCTTCCTTTTCATATAATCTTCACTATATATATATATATATAGAGAGAGAGAGAGAGAGAGAGAGAGTCTCCTCCACCGCATCTCAACAACAAGAGACATTAGTGTTTGCGCGGCATATATTCTGCAGCAGTGGGTGTTGAACTGTATTCACATCCTTTACTCGACGGCAGCCGAATTTCGTCACCACCTCCACAAGACATTCCTCCAATTGTGAGATCTGCGCATCTGTGAAGGTCCCATACTCGTGCAGCAGCAATACATACATGGAACCATGCAATCTTCTAAAGTGTAATCCCCGATCATTCCCATCACCAGCACTGTTATTAATACTACTTTTATTATTAATATTATTATTATTATTATTATTATTATTATTATTATTATTATTAGGAGGAGGAGGAAGAGTGGTATTCTTTATGTTATTATCGTTCGCAGACTTCTTCTTCTTCTCCTTCTTGTCGTGATGTACACACCTGTCCAGAATAGCATCAGCGAGATACTGCAATTCCTTCTCTGTGATGTCTCCCACAACCCGCACCTCCACCGGATCTAATTCATATCGAACGAAAAGAAACTCTTCACTTCCGCAGCCCTCCGTCGTCTCTGCTGCGAAGGAGATGTGCTCCGAGTTAACGTGAGAGTTCGCTGCTGTGATGATTCGCGGCGGGGTGATGGCCATTCCTCGCTGGGGAATACCCGCAGATCGATACCGTAGAGATCGCATGAGTTGTACATATTTGGAAACGGATCTTCGTGTTTCTTCCCGTCTTTGCTGGAGAACTGCCGCCTCATCTGTTTCTACTAATAATGATAATGAGGAAGGTGATGATGATAATGAGGAGTCTAACAGTTTAGTGTGATGTAATTCCTCTTCCTCTTCATCATTATCATTAGCTGTACGAGTATGAGTATGAGTATGAGTAGTAGCAATATTGATATTACAATGACTACTATTACTATTATTATCACTATCACTATGCGTAATACGAATACCGGTTTCTAATAAAGGCGGCACAGGTGAGGATATAAATACATCCAAAATAGCCAAAACAATTGTCACTTTACAACTACCAAACTGCTGCACATCATATATAATTCTTAAGATATCGGTATCGGATTCTAATGGTAATAACTCCTGATGATCCTCCACACGATAGGCCATACGTATAGGCTGTTGCGGCTGTATAGATAGAAGTTTACGTAGTGTTTGCTCAAGTCCATAACGGAGTGGTGGTTGTCCAATATCAATACGTACTTCTTCTAATTTATTACCATGGATATCCACAACTGTAATACTCTCTACTGTAGTAGAACGTTCCTGTTGAAAGTGAGATAATCCCTTTGTGAATTCTTCATATCGACAAACATGAAGAGAACCATTATGAGGATTGTAGTGTAGGAGAACCACTTCAAGATTAATAAACCCATTTCCATTTCCATTATTATTATTATCGTCTTTTAGTGAAGAAATATCTGTAGAGATAGGGATTATTGATTGTTCCTGTAGTAGTAAGACTTTGATCGATTTCCATTGTTTCCATGTAAATATTAACAATTTTCCAAGAGATTTCACATCTACTTCCAATACAAGTTGAAACTTTAATTCCTCCTTATCTAATCGGTTCAAACCATCTATCGTACTATAATTAGACTGTAATGTTTGTGATGGGGATACATCCAAGAAAAGATGACAAGAAGAGGATGATGATAAGAATAGCTTTGGATCTGCCTCTATTAACACGGAGAGTAGATCTGTGTTATCCTGTGGGAGATGTGGATTACTAAACACATTGGGAAGTGCTAATTGAACCAATTGGACCATGCGGTGCAGTAAGAGATGAACATCATTGTCATTATCATCATGTGTGAAGAAGCAGCCGGGTCCGAAATGAGCCCGCAATCTCATATGTGCTTACTACAGATATATATATATATATATATATACAAAGAGAGATAGATAGATAGAGACAGAGATAGAGAGAACCACAAGAAAAAAAATGTCTCTTCTTCTTCTCTTTCTTTCTTTCTTTTACTTATTTGTTTTTTTTTTCTTTTGTACTTTAACAGTAAATAAAAGAAAATAAAGAAAAGAATGAACAGTTAAGGCAAAGAATGTATTACTGAGGAAATATATATATACGCACATGGACAATACAAGAGGAAACCATCCCTCAAAAAGGAAAAATAATAATACATAGATTTTGAGAGGCAAAATTGATAAAATGCCACGAGTTCCACTTCTCACATTACAAACAACTTTAGAATAATAACAACAACAGCAATAATAATAATAATAACAACAACAATAGTAATTTCTCTCTTTCTTTTCCCCACTTTCTCTTCTCTTCTCTTCTCTACAATACCTGCTGTGGAAGTCGGAGTGACATGTATGCATCTAGACCAAGAACTACTGTGAGATGTGGGTGGTGTTCCTCACTGAGCTGCTGCACCTTTGCAAAGGAATCCTCTGAAAAGATCCACATATCCATAAGAGTTGTATCGTTCTTTACATTGCTTGTATAATCTACAATACTCTTATTATCCGGCGATATTAATAGTAAGAGACGAAGGCAAATAAACTGCGGTGTGAGGGATGGAAGAATAGGGGAAAGTGAATCTGTAATCTCCATACATAAATCACGATAAGAAACAGCCTCAACTAGAAAGGACACCTCACCGTACCGCACAACGGCACGCATTAGATGTCTCTACTAACCCTTGATAATTAATTAATTAATTAATTAATTAATTAATAATAATAATAATAATAATAATAATAATAAAGAAGAAGAAAAAAAACAAAATAAGAAGGAGTAATATGATGAATAAAGTAACAGAGAGAAATGCAAACCCTAAATAGAGTATTATAAACACAAACAGAGACATGGTAAAAAGAATAAATATAATGAGAGAGAGAGACACACACACACAGAGTTCCATCGACTAATAATATTCAACCAAAGAGTAAAGAAAACGGGATATAAACACCAAATAGATAAATAAATAGAGAAACGAAAGGGATTTCGTTCACACACAGAAAACGTTTCTATTACTTCTATCACAATAATAATAATAATCTGTCACCAATAGATAACAACAAAAACCAATTGAAATACAATTCAGGCGAATGAAAAAAAAAAAAAAAAAGAAATACTTTGTTGTTGTGCCTTTTTTTCTTATTCTTTCCTTCTTCTTTGGAGGCTTTAATTTCTCATTCTTTATTTATTCTTTTCCTTTACTCGCCCTTCTTGCGCTTTTCCGAACTCCCCTCTGTTCCTCCTCCTCCTACATCATCATCACTGCCATTATTCTTCTTCTTATTATTACTATCATCATTATCATCATCATCATTCCGTTGATGTTTACGACTCTGCGTCGTATCTGCAGTTCCACTTTCTTCTCTTTTCATCTTCTCACTCTCTAAACGAAGTTGTTGTTGGTGCTGTGCCACTTCTCCCAAATCAAACTCTAATGGTTCCTGTCCAAATGTACGCCGCAAGATTCCTTCAAATGAGGCTGTTGTCGCATCTATGTTATCCATTACGTACGCACGTGATGCGGAGTCTAAGTTCTGCATCATCTGCATACCACACAGAGTATAAAGATTTTCATATGTATCTTCAACAAATACATGAGAGAGAGGATGATCCCATGGGGCCACTTCCACATTCTCACTATTCTCCTCCTCTGCAGTAGTAGTAGTAGTAGTATTGTTATTCTCATTATTGTTGTTGTTGTTACTAGTAGTAGTAGTAGTAGTAGTAGTAGTAGTAGTAATGGTATTAGTATTGGGATTAGAATTTGTGTTACCCAACTCTGGCATCTGTGCCTGTAATCGTAGTCTATTACACCGCTGACAAACAAAGAATGTCTGATCATGCTGTAACTCACATGTCTGGCACATAAATGCCTGTTCATCCCGTATTGTGTGTCCACAGTGATCACAGGCATCATGCAATTGCACCATCATCTCTGGCCCGGCGGCGATGTGCGAACGTGGGGCAAAACGACTGTAGGCTTCTCTACACGGCCCGCATGTACACGTAGCGGATTCCGTAAACGCATCCACGGGAAATAACATTCCGTGAAAAGGATAAACATCATCCGCACACGGGGCATCTGGTGAAAGTCCACACGGTACAATACTCCGGTATTGTTGTTGTTGTTCTTGTTGCTGGGATTCCTTTCCCTCCTTTCCATTCTCTCTAGATCTAGATATAGATAAGGAAGATGAAGATGAGGAAAAGGATGTTGGGAGTTTACCGGCGTAGCAGCGGCGTGGGTCCTCATTAATGAGCCACGGGTGTTCATTCATGCAGCGGCCGCACACAAATCCCACAAACGCATCGCCGTTCATCATCGCCGTCGCCGTCGCCGCACTCATTTGGGAATATTTTCTGTCGTTCCACACATCCCCCGGCGGCACCCGTTCGGCAATATCGCAGCAGCCGCGGCAGCCGCAACTGAACTCCACGCCCGCAGGGGCCTCATTATGTGTGCCGCTCAGTCGCGACGCCAACACCGCCTCCGCACTCACATCGTGGTCTTTATGGCAGCGCAGTCGACACGGACAACACACCAAAGTCTCACACGTGCGGCAGTGAAATGCCAAAACATCGCCTTCCACAACATCGCCGTAACACGGAATGCGGCGAAAGGCTTCTGTGCACAGGCGCGTCATGTGTGCACTCCAATAACACGTGGAACACAACATACAGACAATACCACCGCCCTCCGCATCATCCGCGGGGTGATCATCTTCACAATTGCAATAACACCATCTATACAAATCACGTGGATAGCGATTCTTGCTGTTGTGGGGAACGACACTTGTGACTGGAGGAAGACCGGTTTCAGAATCAATGATAAAACAACACCGCTGTGGCTCATCATTATCATTATTATGATTATTACTATTACTATTATTACTATTATCATTATTACCAGGATCTTGTTCTTCCTCGTTCTTCTCTTTACTTATGCTCCCCTCCTTCTCCTCCACCTCTTTATCATGATGATGGTGATGGGTATCATTACTATTACTATTACTACTGTTAGAAATCATCATCGTCTTCTTTTTCTTCTCCTCCTCAGCCACGGGTCTCCAACACGCAGCTGTACAACAATCACACCGCATATAATAACGAACACCCCACTCCTCCACATCGTGATTGCGGTGACAGACTTCCGCACAGGCATAACAAATCGCATGTGCCGCATCTGCCCGCCCACTGCGTACACATGTTCGACAAACAAAAGCTGTCTGTCGTGCATATCCTTTACTGTAACTACACCGAAACCAGCGATTGTCTTGTTCTACTGTAGTTGTCACTAAACGGTGAAGTTGGGCCACCGCCTCTTCATTAATATGTGGAATCGTTGCAACGGACCCAACAAGCATGAGAGGTATGGTGATGGTAGAGGGAGACGGTGAGGATCCCGCCATTGGAGAGATATCTGTATGAGTATTATTATTATTATTATTATTTTTATCATGAGTCTTGTGGTTGGAGATGAGATCTATCAATCGCACATCCTCGCGTCCCTCACGTCTGTATTGTTTTAGTACAGGAGCCCCAAAGAACAATCGCTGTTTTTCTATTGGCACACCGCTGCGCCGCATGAGTTCCTTCTTCACATCTCCAACGGTACTTTTCTCTGCAGGGAAGAGAAGCAACATTTTGTCTTTTCCATGTGTTACCTCCACACGAATCTCATTTACTCCATTGGGAGAAGAGGCATGTGATGTCATTACTGAAGAGTCTATTGGCCTTTCGGCAGTTGTAGGCAACACACCTGACTATTTTTTTTAAAAAAAAGATAATAATAATAATAATAAAAAGAAAAGAAAAGAAAGAGATGAACCATATAGACATGTTATTATAGTAGTAATACATTTACAATATCATTAGATATAGAGATATACAGAGAAAACAAGAACAAAATAGTAGTAGTAAAAAAAAAAAAAAA